TTAGAATTTTGGATAGTTTTGGTTGAATAGTATAGGCAATGTATGGAGAAACTGGGAATGATGTTTTCTTATGGTTTTTTGAGGGATTATATCAGTTGAGTACAATATAATAAAATACTCGGTAGTTCTAGCGTTTTCTTTTGTAGCAAAAAAAAAGTAGAAATGATTATTTGGCGTTACAACTTAGTTGAATCATTAAACAGTTTCATTTTATATTTGTCTTGTATATTGCAATTGTTTTTCATTCAGAAGCGTCACTGACATGACCTTAAGGTAAATTTGATATGGGGGATAGCATTGTTTATTTGTTTTGAAGGGGGTAACTCGGATTTTTTGGGAAAACGGTATGTATTGAATTTTTTGAAAATATAGCGTTTTGCTTTGGAAGAATTAGAGATCTACCTTTGAATAAGGGATGAGAAAATCATGGATTTATTGGCATTTCATTTGTTTCTTAATGTTTATACTAATTAAATATTATCCTGTGGAATAAGACACTAATGGTTTCAGGGTAACGAACTATTAAGCTTTAAATAAATTATACAGGTAGAATAAAAGGAAAAACTGTTTTGTTCAATTAAAACGGCCGACTGTCACGCACGCGTACATCGATTTTAACCTATCTATACATTTTCTTGAAAATTTGATCAAGCATATTGCAAATGGAATAGTTTGAGTCGGTTCAATACTTACCACAGTGATATACAATACTATGAATACAATAATACAAACACAAAGATGGTAGTCTATTAAAGTAGAACGTGATTGTTTTAGTATGTCAGCTTGCAGTTTTTATTAAAAAGTGCAACACCAACAGACTTATTTAATATAAAGAAAAAAGGTTTAAGAACGCCTGCTGTAAGGTGCTAATTGAGATTGTGTGAGTTGCAGTCCAGGAATGTTGTTGAATCCAAGCATCTGTAACATTTCTTTCGTTTCTGGGTCGACTTCGATGATGTCGTGTTCCAGAGCAGAAACTTCAGGAACATAGTTGTCTCTGCGTTCCCTCTCTTCTTCTTGCAATTTAATAGAAATGCCACGGACTTGACTGTGCCTCAGACGCTTCATTAAATGTGTAACAAATCTGTTCGATAAATAAGAATACGAAGAATTAGAACTAGAAACCTAAGGCAAATTATTTTTTTCAATTAGCTTATATTATTACTGTTACTAAACATTAGTTGAAGTACAAAGAAATCATACATTAGTTGATTGATTAGTATGACAAATTTTACCTATGTTTGAAAAACATAATCATTTATGTAATTAATGTACTGTTAGTACCATCATAAATATCCAAAATAATTTATAGTTTATTAGAAAACCCTCTGAATTTCCATAATACATTTGCTTTATATTGTATATTAATATTTGAGTCATTTGTACTGCCATTTGTACCATAAGAAGTTATTTGATTTGATACACTGTAAAGTTCTGTTATTAAAATATTCAATACTTAAATTCAATAGTAATAAAAATTCCAAGCATCATCCAAGAGAATGCAAATAGGATGCAAAAATCCACACTCCTCTCATTGACCTTCTTTTGAACTATGCGCAATATAATCATGAAATAATAAATCATATTGGACCACATAGTTCAATAATTTTCTGAATTATTGTTTAAAGAAAATTATGAAACTAGTTTACATCACATAATCATTATGTTTATCAGTTTATTAACCTTCTGTTAGGTAAAACATTACGATACCACACTATTTCATTACTTCAACCTGTTTCGCTAATTAAAAATAACGCATGTATAACCGAAGTAACACACAGTTAAAGAATACGTACCCAGCGATTTTGTTACGCAAAGATTTGCTAGGAATAATAGCAATTTCCTCGCATATCCTTTTATTAGTATGGAAGTCCATAGTCAATCGAGTATAGTACTTCTCAATAATAAGTTTCGCGGCCTTTTTGACCGTCTTTGTCCTGACGCGACTCTGTAAAAATATTTTTCACACGTACAAACCATTTTCCAATTAAATTCATTTCTCATACAACATTGATATGCTCAATAAAAATATAACATAACCTCAACACGCAAGTCTGCGCATAGTGAGCGTGTACGATATGTTTAAACAAACAATATATCAATTTTTATCGCCAATATATTTATTGCTATACTAAAATATCATTTGTTTAAAAAGTTAACAAAGGATTGCTGAGATATTTGATGATTATTTCTAGGAAATATGAAAATATACGCACCATGATGGATAGTGTAGCGGAAAAGACGTAAACCAAAATGGAAGAGAGACACTACCGCCACGTAACTATCAACAGTAGCGGCAAGGTAGAGAATTACACGAATTCGACGATAGTAGAGTTTATATTTTTTTAATATTTATCCTGGAAAATATAATTTATCTATGGACAATAATTTTAACCTGATCAGGAAGGAATGTATTAATTAAAACAAAAATCAATGACTTTATTTTTAACTAATTTGTGTTTAGTACATTGTTATTAAGCGACATCTTGTGTTGATAATATAGGAACCTAATATAAATATTAATTCACAAAATTATAAACATTAATCGTTTGTACTCGAGAATATTTGTTAAGAAATATTTATTATTTTTTAATGAAATATCAATGATATTTTTTACAGCTAACAAAATATCTTGCATAAATTCAGTGATAGAATTATTTTATTTATTTTCCATCTGTTGATACATTATANNNNTTTTAAAAAATTCTAAACAATATTAAATATTCATTATTTTTTAATGAAATATTAATGATAATTTTTACAAATAACAAAATATCTTGTATAAATTCAGTGATAGAATTATTTTATTTCAATGTACCATCTGTTGATATATTACACAATGATTTACGAATTTTAAATTATTTATTTAAAATCATTTTTCATCAATTTTATTTTAAATTATAAATTCAAGAACATTTTCCATCAATTTCATTCAAAATTTCAAATTTAAAATCAATTCCCATCAATTTTATTTTAAATTATGAAATTAAAATCATCTTCCCATCAATTTTACTTGAAATTATGAATTTAAAATCATCTTTCATCAATTTTGCTTCAAATTACTTATTTAAAATCATTTCCCATCAATTTCACTTTGAACCACGAATCCAAAATCATCTTCCATCAATTTTCCTTCAATCCACAAAATCATTCCCATCATCCCCCTCAAAACATCAAACCTCCATATCCACAAGCTCCCAAACCCCAAAACCCCATTACCATCCACCCCAATCCTGCCAAAAGATGTCAGCACGACCACCTCCCCCTCAGTCCCGTCCGTCGCCGAGTCAAAACATGACGCACGCTGCGCGCTGTCCTCCCGAAATCATCTCAAAAGTGTCCCAGTGCCAGCCTCCGCAAGTGACATTCGTCCTCGCTGACTCGAAAACCGCTCTCATCGTTGCCTCTTCCTCGGCCAGCAAAAAGTCTCCCGCGAAGTGCCAGAAAACCGAGAACAGGTGACAGACGAGCGGCGGGGGGGCCGGCAGCACCGTCGAATGAGTCCCGAGTGAGATGGTGCGCGCGAGCTCGTCGAACGAAGCGAAACGGACGACTCGTTCAAGCGTCGTCGGTGTCGGCGCGCGCAGACAGAGGGCGCCACCGGCGCGAGAGAAGGAGCGCAGTGCCGCGAGGGAGAGACGACGAGTTTGTTTATCGCCCTGGTGAACGGTGAGAGCAGTCAGTGCGGTGCTACACTCGGCCCGTGGTGGTTCGGACAATTCGGCTCGCGTCGGTTCTGAGCTCGTTGTGCGCGGGTGCGTGTTCGTGCTGCGGAGACCTCGTGCCGGAACATGCGGACTGATACCTAGTGCGTGCCAGTTGACGTACGAGATACATTGGAACTCTGAGGTAAGTCTCGAATGTGTTCGATTTCGTTGTGGCGATTCGAGGTTAGACGTGCCTTTGTTTTCCGTGACTTTCTCTTTGGAAGTTTCGGGACGTAGGGTCTGGTGTGGGTTTGTTTGAGCCTCGGGTCGTTGATCCCTTTCTTTCACTTTCGGAATACTCGACTTGTGCTGAGTCGGTTGCACGATGCAAACGCTGGGCAAGCGTTCACGTGCAGGTTGTCGCCAGTGCGTAGATTCGATGGGGGCTTGGATTTCGGTTTGGCTGTTGGTTTTGAGGGGGTTTTGTGGGAATGTTGAATTTTGGAAATATTGTGATGAATTTAGGGAAGTGTTAGGATAGAATGTTGAAAATTATCTAGATATTATGTAGGGGCCATTTGATTTTTATGGGATTTGGGATGTTGATTTTGATGGGCTGTGTTTATAGGAATGTTGATGAATTTTGGGGAAATATTGTAATATAATTTAGGATAATATTAGGATAGAATGTTAGACATTGTGTAGATGTTAGGGGCCATTTGATTTTCATGGGATTTGGAATGTTAGTTTTGATGGCGTAGAATGTTTATGTATGTAAATGACATAGTGGGAATGTTGTAACGAATGTTAGGAAAATATTGTAATATAATTTATAAAAATTAGAAATTATATATGTTACATAGGGGCCATTTGATTTGTATGGGGATTTGGGATTTGGGATGTTAGTTTTGATAGGGTAGAATGTTTGTGTATGTAAATGACATAGCAGAAATATTGTAATGAATGTTAGAAAAATATTGTAATAAATATTAGACAAGTATTAATAAAGACCCAACTTCTGTTGGGTACAATAAAAAATTGTTACTTCAGACTCATCAATTGTTCCCCTCCACGGAAATCTTTAGTAAAAGGCGAAAGATTTATACGTGGTTTGAAGGGAAACCAGAGTTTTAATATTACAATATAATATTAAAAATTATACATATATATGTTATATAGAGGAGCAATTTGAAATTTGGAATGTCACTCTAGATGGTTTAGAATATTTATGCATGTAAATAAAATAGCAGAAATGTTACAACGAATGTTATAAAAATATTATAATAAATATTAGAAATTATATATAGAATTATATTAATTTAACAAAAATCAATATTGTTCTGCTATTATCAATATATTACTTTAAAAATAATTTTGTATTTACAAACTACAATTTCTTTACTAACTAACTAATCAATACAACTGATAAAATAACTAAATAATCAATATATCCAATAAAATGACTAAATAATTAATATATCCAATAAAATGACTAAATAATCAATATATCCAATAAAATGACTAAATAATCAACACAACCAACAAAATAACCAAACAATCAATACAACTAATAAAACAATTAGTCATCACAGCATTTCATTTCTTTCCCCGGTTCATCTGAAACATTCAGTTCCTTTCGTCTGTTAAATTTGAATATTCGCGGGTCGATCTTGCGGTAATTGCAGGGACCGTATCGACCACGTAATGGCGATGACCATAACTCGGAATTGATACCCCATGGTTGTTCCGTCGCCGCGCTCGCTGGACGTCGGTCGACTGGAAATTAGGGTGGATCGAAATTTCGCAGGACAGTGGAATTTTTTTGGCGATCACGTGGAAGCTAGCGTTGCGGTTGTCGCTGCTCGCATACGTGATTCGATGGATACAAGTATGTAGTTCGGTTAGCGAGCGTTTCAATGTTGACACGTCGACTGCCACCGGCAACAACGTTTTACCATGTGTTTTGACCTTCGTGAGATAAATAGGAATGTTCAATGTTGAATCTTTTTGGCTATTTTAATTTTTTATCGGTTGTTTGTGTATTTATATTTGTGAGATAAATGGGAATAATTCTTGACACGTTGAATGTTGAATCATTTTGTTTGTTTTAAATTATATTAGATTACATATTTCAATATATTTTGGATATTCTAATTTTATATCGGTTGTTTGTATATTTATATTTGTGAGATAAATGGGAATTATTGATACGTTGAATGTTTAATTATTTTGGTTATTTTAAATTATATTAGTTTATATATTTCAATTTATTTGTTTAATATAACTTAAACAAATAAATTGAAATAATAATATAACTTAGTTTATATATTGCAATTCATTTGTTTATTTTAACTTATCTTGGTTTATATATTTCAATTCATTTTGGTTATTTTAATTTTATATCAGTTGTTTATATATTCATATTTATAAGATTAATGGGAATAATTATTGACACGATGAATGTTGAATTATTTTGGTTATTTTAATTTTGTATCGGTTGTTTGTGTATTTATATTTGTGAGATAAATGGAAATAATTATTGATATGTTGAATGTTGAAACATTTTGTTCATTTTAACTTTGTATCAGTTGTTTATATATTTCAACGACGAAAGCGTTTACTTTGTTATTAAAATGTTGAAAATACATTAACGTACAAATGAAAATATATTAAGAAAATAATATATAATATATAATAACAATAACAATAACAATAACAACAATAATAATAATAATAATAATAATAAATGAAGAAAATAAATAAAATCGTTGAAAATCACTTCGAGATAGATAACAGATGACGAAAGCACTTACTTTGTTATTAAAACGTTGAAAATAAATTGTTAAGGAAATAATATATAGTAATAACATCTATATAATATACAAAAAAAATGAATAAAATCGTTTTAGATCACTTCGGAGTCAGTGACGGACTCTCAACGAGTCTTTACTGTTGAATCTCTTTTTAAAGTTCAATATTCCATTGTTTGAGCTAGAAAAACTCCGGGTAAACTGAATAATATTTACGTAAACCGTCCCCAGTTAGTTGGGTACTTAAGAAATTAACGCGACGAGCAATTCCTCAAGGCGATATCGCGGAGACGTTGAACGGTGATCAAAAGCACCGTGTTCCTTGGCTAAGGATCTCGAAATATTAATTGCACTCGCGGATGTTCTTCATACTTCATTCATTCATTATTTGTCATTCAGTATTAACCTTGACTCTCAGTGACATTTGAACTTTCCACTGAAATTTTTTCATTATTTCATATTGCATTTCTAAGAGTTTCTTTCGTTTAAAATTTGGGCAATAGAAACAAAAGCAATAACATTTTAATCGTTGCTTTGATTAATCATTTCTCGCGGTAATAATAAATATTTCTCTGAGAAATCATTCAAGAAATAGCATAATGCACTCTTGGAGTTTCTATAGCGAAATTTTAAAAAGTCATTTGAACTGCTCGGTAGTTTTAGTGTTAAGCGACACAGTTATCTAAACACGAGATCGTCTAATTATTCTAGTCATGCATCGATACATGAAATATTTCTATAAAACAGCTTTGTTTCTTAATTGACGTATTTACACCTTTATTCCTTAATCCACGTATGTTTTTTCATTAGTTTCATACGAAAATCTCAAACATTTCTAACAAAAATCTCCCGAGTGCAAAAGTTTAAGTTAATCTCGCCATCTTCCTACAGTAAGTAACTCACTCGAAACGATTGTTAAACGACAAAGTAATCTAAACACGAGATCGTCTAATTATTCGAGCCATGCATCGATATAGCAAAGGTTTCTAAAACTTCGTTTATCAAGCTTTGTTTCTTAATTTACATGGTTTCTCATTAGTTCGTCCAAAATAATGTCTCATACGAAAATATCGAATGTTTCATGCGACATGTGAAACATTTCTATAAAACAGCTTTGTTCCTCAATTAACGTATTTCTCATTAATTCATCCCAAATAATGTCGTCTACGTCTGAAAGCTCGTAAAACAGCTTTGTTTCTTAATTTAGGAATATTTTCTCATCAGTTTCATAGAAAAATATCAAATATCTCGAAATCTGCATGCAGCAAGTAAGTCACTCGAAACGATTGTTAAGCGACAAAGTTATCTAAACTTCAGAGATCACCTAATTATTCCAATCATGTATCGATATATGAAATATTTCTATAAAACAGCTTTGTTTCTTAATTTAAGAATGTTTTCTCATTAGTTTCATAGGAAAATATCAAATATCTCGAAATCTGCGTGCAGCAAGTAACTCACTCGAAACGATTGTTAAACGACAAAGTAATCTAAACACGAGATCGTCTAATTATCCGCGGCGAGGCAGCCGAGCGTCCCATTTCTCATGGCCGCCCGATACGGTTACCTAACAAAATCCTCGGCAAGCGGGTCAACGAAGAACAGTCACCGACGCGTCGCCGAACGATCGACCGGGAATCGGTCAGGATTTCGTCTCTCTCGTCGGCAGAATCCGGAGAAAACAGTTACAGGACGATGATCTAATTTCGATGAACTATCGAACCGAGCGAAGTTCGGCAAGCAGCTGCGAGTCCCCGGCGAACCGAAGCCGATACCGGTCCTATTGTCGATAGTTACCGCGAAACGAGCGAAAGTTAAAGTTAAGCGGAGCGCGGAGTTAACTGTAGGCCCGTGTAACTTTCGAGTCACATATTAATATTGTGGGAATGGATGTATTTGAGCGTGCGAATAGATATATTGATGACTGATGAATGTAATAGATGAATGACACGTCGTCTTCGTAGAATATATTTCGCGAGACGCGGAGTTTAACCCTTTGCGCTCGAGAATATTTTAGAATATTTAACAAATACTCGCTATTTTCTGATGGAATGTCAGTGATGTTGTGGGAATGGATGTATTTGAGTGTGCGAATAGATATATTGATGAGTGATGTGTGTGAACGCGTTTGGAATGAATGTTCGAAGCATTGGAATATTCTAGATTATATTGATTTTTATGTTAATAATATTCGTTTTCTATGAATGTAGAATATTCGAAATATATGTGAAGTTAATGCATAATGAAAGAATGTTCTAGAAAGGGTGAGTGAGACAAGAGGTGACAAGAATACAATATTGTGGCATCTCGTTGATTCATTTCATTTTGCATTGAAATATTATTAGGGGAGAATTGTTGAGTTTGGAATATTGTTAGGTGAGAATTTTTGAGTTTGAAATATTATTAGGTGAGAATAATTTTTTAATTTAATTGTGATCAAGTGGATTATATTATTATGTTGTTTTCGATATTGTTAGTAAGAAGAATTTTTGAATTTGAAATATAATTGAGTGAGAAGAACTTTAGAATTTGAAATATTAAGTAATAATAATTGTTGAGTATAAAATATTATTAAGTAATAATAATTTTTGAGTATAAAATATTATTAAGTAATAATAATTTTTGAGTATAAAATATTATTAAGTAATAATAATTTTTGAGTATAAAATATTATTAAGTAATAATAATTTTTGAATTTGATTACAATGAACGGCTTCCATAAAAATAAAATGATTTCATTTTAAACGTATCTCGGAAGTCATTTTTAACCTCGGAACCGGTCATTTCGTCTGGCGCGTCGTCCTAGTGTCAAGTATCTCGTCAATAATAATAAAAGGTCGCGCTTAAGCGTGCGGGAGCATCGTAAACAGACGTTGCGTATCGCTCGGTCAAAGGTTAAGAGCCGGCTCGCGAGCTAGAAGCCGAAAGATGCGATCCGAAGATACTGTCCGTCGCGCGGCCATCGATTCCGCGAATCTAGATGGACAGTCGAACCTGTTTTTGTGCAATTCTCTTCTATGCAATTGTTTTTTTGTGCGATTTATTTTGTGCAATTTATTTTAATTAGGTATACGAATTCCAACGGTGTTGTTGTTATATAATATCATTGATTGCTTGTGTCAATTATATCATTGATTTCTTGTATCAATTGTTACTTGTTTTATCAATTATGCCATTGGATACTTGTATCAATTGTTACTTGTTTTATCAATTATATCATTGATTACTTGTATCAATTATATCATTGGATACTTGTATCAATTGTTACTTGTTTTATCAATTATATCATTGGATACTTGTATCAGTTGTTACTTGTTTTAT